GAAAAACTAACCTCAACCTAAACCTCGCACTATACAAAATTAACTTAAAATGGATTTTAAAACTATAGAAGAAAAAAAGTAGGGAGAAAATCTTCAGGGCTAGGCAAAGAGATCTTGAACTTCATACCAAAAGCATAATCCATAAACGAAAAGATTGGACTTTACTAAAATTAGGAACTTTTGTGAAAGACCCTGTTAAGGGTTTGAAAGGCAAGCCTCAGATGGAGAGGATACATGTGGAAACTACATGAAAAAGAATAAATGGGAAAGATAGAAAACAAATAGCGAGCTGGTACATTGAAACCCAATCGAGTCAATAATCTCATTAAATAAAAATGATGTACATCCCCAAATAAAAGGCAAAAACCCTAAAACTGGATTAAAAAACACCACCAACCTACAGGCTACTTATAAGAAATCCACTTTAAATATAGACACAGATAGGTTAAAGCTAAAAGACAGAAAAAGATAGACCATGCTAACATTAATCTTAAGCTCTATTTATCTCAAAGCAGACTGCAGACCAAGCATATTATTTGGGATAAAGAGAGTCATTTCATAAATTACAAACAAGTCAGTTCATCAAGAGGTCATAATAATCTTAAATGGCAGAGCTTCAAAATAAATGAAGCCAAACTGATAGAACAGAAAGGAGGAACAGGCAGCTTCACCGATGTATCGTATTTCAACATCCCTCTCCACATCTGGGAGGCCAAGCAGGCAGGAGAGAGCCGAGGAGGGGACCACCACTGCGACAGACAGCGGCAGCGATCTGAACACAACCGGCACTCGGCGGGACCCCCACAAACGTTAACAGAATGCACATCCTATTACACTCACATGGGACGTTTAGCAAGCCAGACCACGTTCTGGTGCATCAAACAAGTCTCAAGTTTAAAAGGATTCAAACAATAAAAAAAAACCCTTCTCTACCCATAATGGAATTAAACTAGAAGTCAATAACAGGACAATTTCTGGAAAATCTCCAACCATCTGGCAACTAAACAACACACCTCTAAATAATCACAAGAACAATTACAAAATACTCCGAACTGAATAAAAATTAATGCATGACATATCAAAATATTTGGAATGCAAACTAAAGTAGCACCTAAAGGGAAATTTCTAGCATTAAACACTTAAATTGGAAAGATGAAAAATCTCAAGTCAAATGACCTGAAAAAAAAGGATAACCTGAAAAAGCCTGTATCTGTGATGGAAATTAAATATGTAGTTTAAAATCTACCCAGAGGAAAAAACTCCAGGAGCCAGATGGCCGCACTGATGAAACTTACCAAATATTTAAGGAAGAGCTAATAGCAGTTCTACAGGAAACGGAAGAGAACCAAGCGCACTCAACGATGCCACCGTTAGCCTCATGCCAAAACCAGATGAAAGCACGATAGGGAAAGAAACTATAGACTAACATACCTTGTTCCCATAAAATCTAAAAATGTTTAGCAAATCCAACGATGCATGAAGAAGATAATGCACCATGACCAAGTAGGACTCGTCACAGGAATACAAGTGGGTTCAACATTCAGGTAAATGTGAACATGGTAAAGGGTATCTACAGAAAAACAGCAGCTAACACCACACTTAAAGGTGAGCGACTACGTGCCTCTCCCCGAAGGCCCAGAAAGAGACAAGGATGTCTCCTCTCACCATATCCATTAGCACCGAGGCCCTGGCCAGCGGCCGCAGCGAGAGCGAGCGAGCATGCAGACTAGAAACGAAGACGTGCAATTTTCCTTATTCACAGACCACATGACTGTCTATATAAAATATTAAAGAATCCTTTTTAAAAAAAAAAAACACTACTGGAATCAATAAATGAGTTTTAGCAAGGCTGCAGGATAGAAGATCAATATCCAAAAATCAATTTCATTTCTATATTCTAGCAATAAACAAGAAGAATCAGAAACTGAAATTCAAAAATACTACCATTTTATAGTAACTTTCAAAAAATGAAATACTTTGGAATAAGTCTAATTTAAAACACGCACATTATATTTATACACTGAAAAGTACACAACATAGCTAAGAAAAAAATAAAGATCACCTAAATAAATGGCAAGGCATCCCTTGTTTGTGGGTCAGAAGGCAATATTGTTTAGATGTCAATTTATTCCAATTGATCTACAAATTCAACACAACTACAATCAAAAGTCCAAAAAACTTCTTTGTAGGAATTGACAAGTTAATTCCAAAATTCATTTGGAAATGTGAAGGACCAAGAATGGCCAAAACAACTTTGAAAAATAAGAGCAACGTTGAAGGACTTGTCTGATTTCAAAATTTAAATATTAGTAATCAAGACACTGTGCTACAGTGTCAAGATAAACAGTGGATCAATGTAACAGAATAAAGAGTCCCGAAATAGAGCCATATGTGTATGGCTAAGTGATTTTTGACAAAGGTAAAAAAAACAATTCAATAGAGAAAGGACTGGCTTTTGAACAAATAGTGTTGGAACAACTGGACATCCATATTGAAAAATATGAAGTTCAATCCATTTTTCACACCATAACCAAAAATTAACGCAAAATGGGTAAGTGACCTAAATAGAAAAGGTAAAACCATAAAACTTCCAGAAGAAAATATAGAGAATACCTTTGTGACCTCCAGTTTGGCAGATTCCTTAATACAGTACCTAAAGCACATCTGATCATGAGAAAAAAATCGTGAAGTGTAATTCTTCAAAACTAAAAACATGCTCTTTAAAAGGCAGTGCCAAAAGAGTATTTTCCCCAGTCTAGGAGATAATATTCGCAAATTACAGTACATATCTGATAAAGGACTTCCATCCAGATAATATAAAGACCCTTGAAACTCAACAATTAGAAAATGACCCAATTTTAAATCAGGCAAAAGATATGAACAGGCGCTTCAGCAAAGCAAATATATACGACACCCAGCACACACGTGGAGAGGTGTTCAACACTACCCATTGGGGGAGTGCAAACTCAGCGCTGCAGTCAGGCATCACAGAACAGCATGCCTGTTAAAATTTTGCCATACCTGGCAAAAATTGGAAAGACTGACCGCACCTAGTATTATGCAGATACAGAGCAAATGAGACTTTCAATCACTGCTGGTGGGAATGTAAAATACCACAGTCCCTTTGGGAAACAGTTTGAAAGTATCTTAAAGTTAAGCACACACATATACCTTAGGACCAAGCCATTGCACTCCTGGATATTTACCCAAGAGAAATGAAAACACGTCCTTATGAAGACTTGTTTACAAATGTTCACAGCAGGTTAATTTGTGATGGCTCAAAATGAGAAACAACCCAAATGTCCATCAATATAGGTGAATGCAGAAACAAATTGTGGTACCTCCCTATTACGGAATACTACTCAGCAATAAAGATTAACTATTGATACATGCAACAACATGAAATAACGTTGAAGTAATTCTGCTGAGTTAAAGAAGCCAGGCAATATGAGAACCTAAACAGTATTTAATTCCACTTATATGACATTCTAGAAAATACCACCTATAGAGTAGACAGGACGCCTATCAATGGTTGCCTGGGCGGAGCAGATGAGGAGAAGGAAAGGGTGGAAGGGAGGAACTTCGAAGGAGCCCTGGGAAATTTTGGGGGCGACGAATAGGTTCATCATCTTAACTGTGATGGTTTCATGGGTGTGTACAAATGTCAAAAGGCACCAAATTGTCTATTTTAAATACGTACACTTTACTGTATATCAATTATAACTCAATAAAGCTGGAAAAATAAAGACAACAGAGAAAACTGCCAACGGTCTAAAAGACAGGCACCTAATTCTGAACACCGGAAGCGTCTGCGTTTTGGCCTCGTCCTCCCTCCTGCTGCCCCGCTGTCAGGGCTGGGTTCCCCTGCGCACCCTACTCTCACTAAGCACGAAGGTGACAGGGAAGCTGTCTGTGGGGGATGAATTATGGCCTTAGGAAGGCAGAAAATGCGGGCAAAAGAAACGTTCGTTCTGTAACTTAAAACCTTCTGGCATAACAAACAACTCTAGGTGGTGAGACTCTTGGTGATTTTCCTTTGGTTTCTTTAAATTTTTCTGTACTTTCCAAATTCTTTATAAGCATTTTTTTGCTCTTTGGGGGGAAAAACAGTTTTAAAAGAACCAGTTTAAATTCTCCATTTTGTAAAGAACTATTCAAAAAGAAACCAAGGGGCTTTTTTTCACCCTGATAATTAATGAATAGCCACCTGAACATGCATATGCAAATCTAAGGCTTAATGTAGATCAAAGAACAGGGAGATTTCATTGACAAAGGATGAAGGATATTTACAATATGAGTATAAGGTCAAAACCTGAAAAAACGGGTATGTTCTATATTCTGAATTTCACTAGTCAGACACTGAGTTGGCTTTCACCTAATTACGGACCATGATATCATAATATGTTTGAACTGATTTCCTGCCCTTTGGTTCCAAACTGAGCTCTCACTTGCTGGCGGGAAAGTCCTGCGTTACCTGCCAGAGGCCGGGGACAGGGCTGCGAGGGCCTCTCCGCTGAGGCTTTTCTTTAAAGCACATTCTCTGTGTATTTATTTCTATTTAATCTTCATTGTATTTTTTCCCCATTACCATTCCACTAAGGCTTATAAGCCTGTAAAGGAACAAGCCTTACAACGAAGGACAGATGCCAGGAGAGGCAGGACTTTCAATCCCGCTTGTCCCAAACTGCTAGGGGCAGACATTTACGTCGCATTCTTTAGCAAGCACGGAAAGCCCAGCAGAGGGTTCAGAAATGCCAAATGCTGGTAAAATGCTTCTCTTTAAACAACTTCACAGGTCAAATCAGGGACAAAATTCTCCATATACATTCTGAATACAAATCTTAAAAGAGTCTTCCTGTATGGTTTCTAAAAGAATAAACCAACTTCTTAGTGATCATAGAATTCTTGGCTTAATTCCTCACTTTCATTTCAGAGAAAAAAAATGAAAGTAGGTTCGTGTACCACAACACTGCACATGTAACATAACACAGAACACTTACATGTCTTGGAGTGTTCGTGTGACAGCATGTAATTGGCGAGGGGTGGCGTGTAAGTTAAGCACTGCAATGCTGCGTTGGCAAAACAGGTATTGCCCAAATTCTGGAGCCCCGCTCCAACTCTATGCGTTTGCTGCCACTTAAGACAAATCTTCTCAGATGGGAAAAGAACTTTTTGTGGAGGAGCAATGCCATCACCTAGGGCTAGAAAAATAAAGAATAAACATTTCAAAACAAAGCTTTGTATGCATTTTTAAGCTAAATAAATAGCAATACACCAAACTTGAATCTGAGCAAGATTCTAAGTCTTACTACCAGCCAACCAGAAATACAGAAGGGAAAGGAAAACTTTTAAAGACACAACTCAAAAACAAAAAAAACAAATAAATAAAAATGGAAAAAAAAGACACCAAAAAAAAACCCCCCAAACAACAAAAAAAGCAAATCAATAATTTTTTTAAGAAAGGAAAAAAAAATACAGACAGGACTCAGAACATGGGCAGCTCCAGCCCTAGCTCAGCTGGTCAGAACACCCTAACAGGCCAAGGCCGTGGGTTCACACCCGTCAGGGCGCGCACAGGAAGGGACCCACGCATAAATGGGTGAAACAGCGAATCAATGTGTTTCTCTCTCTTCTCCCTTTCCAAAAAAATCAGTATGTAAAAATTTAAGACAAAATGTGGGAAACCAAATGATTTGGCTCCTTCAATAAATTGCGAGGACAATGGGGGGAGGGTTTACAAATTAAAAGAAACTTTAAAAACATCCACAAAATGCAAAGTGTAAACCTCATTTGGGTGTTCAACAGCCAGCTGTTAAAAAAATTATATGACAACCAGAGAAATTTTAACATTGCCTGGATTTTAAATATAAAGATGTTTTAATTTTTAGAAAGAATTTAGATCTACGCAGTAACACATTTATAGATAAAATATGAAGTATTAGATTTTCTTTAAAATGATGGGAAGAGGGGGAAGGAGTAAGTGGGTGGAGATACAATTGGCCATGAGTTGATAAATGGCCAAGTTGACTGATGGGTCCATGAGAATTCATTATAATCACTCTCCCTTTTATACCTATAAACTTTTTCACAATGAAAAATGTAAAAAATAAATACCACCACCAATAGAGAGTGCAGGTGAGCTGATTCTGGGCGACATTTGCTCTGGGCGCGGAGGTTCAGTTCCGCTGGCGCCGTCTCGCCCCCCCCCCCCCCCCCCCCGCCGAGCCCCACTGTCTACCGGAGTTGGGAGTGGCGTGGTCCCCGTGTTACCAGTAAGGCCACAGGCTGTGAACTCGGGCTGCTGGGCCCCGGGACGCACACTTGTGTGTATGCTAGACGTAGTCTCAAAAAGATTTCTATCTATTTTTAAGACCTAGAAACAGATTGTTGATGGCAATACTTTCATAAAACTCAGGTGAAGCTCAAAAAACAACTTATTTAGGCTAGCTCATAATCACCTATAGCCAGACTACTTTTTCAAAAGTTTGCCAGTTCCTTGGTGCTGCGGAGGATTGAGATGCCCAAGAGACGGGTCTCCATTTTAACAGAGTGGTTAATGAGTAAGGACGCAAAGACAGGCTTCCGCTCGGTGAGGGGTGGAGAGCAAAGCCAGGAGAAGAGAAATGAGGCTGTGAGAGTAGAACAAAGGCCCCTGAGCGCGGCGAGGTGAGGCAGCCAAGTCCTAAGCGAGGGAGCTGCCCGGCAGCAGCCGTCGGAGAAGCGCCGTCCTGGAGGAGTCTCGTTGGTGAAGGTCTTAAAGCCTCTATGTGTTAAGGTCAATGCAACTGCTTGTTTTTCGATATAAACTCCCCCCTCCCTCACCCAAAACACCTTCCTCAGATCTCGCCCCTCACCCTCATGTCACAATAGCACATTTACTAAGAGGCTTCAAAACAGTAAGGGCCAAGTTATTCTAACTTGAACAACGTTCTAAGTAGGAGCGAACCTATTTTCTTTGCATTTCAAAGCTTCCAAATCCAAATGTCTTAGGAAAGTACCAACTAAAGTGTCAATGTCTTATTCATCTGGGTGAGTTTCAACCAATAAAACATTTACATTATCTGCTCTTTTTCAAAGAGTTTTATTCCTACAGATGAGTTTAACTAGCCAAAAAAACCCCCCAAAACTAAACTATTTTTAAAAACATCTTTACATCCACTTATGAAACTATAGTTAATTGACAGGTTAATAAAATGCCTGCCCATTTCACCTCAATTCTCACCAAGATAAAGTTTATCCTTCAAAAAATTTGAAATAAAAGAAACTACAAATAAAGTAACTAAAACTAATCTACCTTGTTATGATACCTATGCTAATCATGAATAGGCAGCAGAGAAAAACGAAGGCCGTCACAATGCAACCCCGAGCTCTGCTGGCCTCCCAGGCAGCACTACATCTTGCAGAATAAGCCATCCTCTCAAAGTACCAACCCACTGACAGCATTTACACAGGAGTTTCTTGGAGTGTTCCTGTCTTTTAAAAAGTACCTTGATCCTTTTGTGGTGATGGTTTTGATTTATCAGGTACAGATGAACTTGAATACACTACAGCACCAGGTACTGGTCCTAAAGAAAGTGTGTGATTCGAAACATCATTTAGTGAAGACACAGCAGCCCAGCTGGCAGACCCCGCATCCATGTCTCCAGGTGAGACTGCCTCCGAACTGCCAGGCTGGTTCTGATAGGCTGACGGGTCTGAGGATTCAGAAGCTTTGTCAACTATGGTCATTGTTCAACTCTGCAAAAGACAAACAACATACATTTGTTTCATAAGATTAGAAAAGCAATTTACTTATTCTACCATCAGATCTCGGAAAGTTATTCGAGCCATTTTTAATTATTTTCAAATCATACAAATAGAAAAGCAACAGTATTTATTCACTTTGTAGTCATTTCCTTGGGACATTTAATATTGTGCTATTCTGAATATATCAACAATTTTTAATTATAAAACCTCCAATGAAATATTTGATGATATCTTGTCATTCTATTCTGTGCATCTTAAATTTCTGATATTTCAATTTATAATCAGGTACCTCAATTTCCAATGTTATACATTTGCCAAATACTCATTATTTTTCTCTCTATTGCTTAAAACTAGATTGTGAAAAGCACTAACACATGCGACTCAATTTTCAGTCCATATATAATTCCTCAGGGGGAGGTCTCAACTACATAAACAGAAAATCTAGCTTTAATTTTGAGCATAAAGTCCAAAATACATTGTTTGAAAATACTTTGCAGTTTTTTAAGTATAGGAAGTCTCACCTTTGAAGCATATTTTTTCTGAAGAGACTCATTTATTTGGTATATATGACTTTTTATTAAATGAATCCTGTAAGACTCTACTGACAGCAAACTTGAACACAAATGCATTTTATAAAAGTACTTAATTATAATTTTCAGAGACCTATCTTAAAATCTTAGGGCTACCACTAATTGAACATCTTCTATGTGCTGGGCACTGTGTTAAACACTGAACACACATTAACTTATTTAAATTTTGTAACGGACCTATGAGAGATTGGACAGAATCCACACAGTCTATAAAATGCACCAATTGTGACCCAAACTAGTTAACACCTGGGACTAGGAACCCGGTCTAACCTTTCCAGCTGGAGTTCCTTCTGAATATACCAACCTGATCAACAGACTACTTTTAAGAATGTTTCCAAAATTGTCTGGTAGCAACCAAACCTGGAATGCCGCTGCTCTGCAGAGAACCTCTCGGGTGCGCTCCGGCCGCCCCCAGCACAGCATCCTCCTCGCCTGGGCACTGACCTAGGAACCTCTGCAAACGCCCCTCATGGTCCACGCCCACCTGCTCCCTCTGGGCTCTGCACGTGCGGTTCCCCTTTACCTAACTCTCCTCCATCCTTCCACCTCCAGCCTGTGAACACTTCCAGTGCTCAGTTTACAATCCATTTCCCCTGGGACACTTTCCTTGACAACCTCCTCCCCCAAGACTGGGTTACAACCGGCCCCCACCCCCCCACCGAGGCTCCTCAGCACCCTGTGCTGATTTATAGGGCAGCGCTGCACAACCACTGTGCAGCGGGGTCACGGGCTGCCTTCCGTCACATCCCTCTGTGCCCCTGACTGGGCACACGGAAAGCTCCCCATACACGTGCTGAACAAGTGAATGAATTCGGGAGGCAGGAAGGGACCAGCGTTTGCTTTAGCATCAGTTTGTACTGAGCGGCTTATACACAGTATCTCACTTAAGGCTTAAAAAATTCTGAAGTAGAAATAGCCTTTAAAACTTATTTTAAAAATATTCAATACAGTAAAAGGACAGTAAATACTCACGGACATGCCACCTCAACAAATGTTACAATGCGCTTTCTACTCACAGTAAGGTTTTTTTTTAAAGCCTCAAAATTTTATTACAATTTTCAATTAAGGCACGATTACCTCCCCCCAAATAGTATAATTTTAAGAAATCTTTTGGAATCTTATATACAAACAGAAGCGTAGAGGTTACTTAGATCTTAATAAAGTAAAAACTGAACTGAAATTTTAAGTCAATCTAAAATATTGGACCTTTATTCAGGAAGAAAATTTGAGCCATATTATCCAAATAAAACTTACCCTCTCCTCATCAAAGAGTCCAAAGAAATTACAAAGCAGTGTGGAGACGAGAGTAAGAAAATACAAGAGGAGGAGGAAGGGAAGGAGGAGGAAGGGAAGGAGGAGGAAAACGATGAAGGCCAAAACAGTAATAAGGAAAGGTTAATTTAGCCTTATTTATGATTATGTTAAGTAGTCCCCTCCCCCCCCCAAAAACCCACAAATCTTGATTTTCCCTGTATACACACCCCTTCAGGACAATCATTAACAAATGACCAAATAAAACCATTTTACTGGCTCAACTGCCTGTTTTGAGGAGAGGGAGGGGCACTGATATAAAAAAAAAAATTAAGGAATGCATACAACTTAGTCATCGATGACTATACAACATTTTGATTTTGGTAAGACAAACCAAAACCATCCATTTGTCTTCATGTGTACCTTCCGCCAATGAATTCTTACCCTGAAACCATGAGGCATCAAACGGAATTCCATCTGCTACAGAGATAAAACCCTTCTAGGAGCCAAGCAATGCGGTGCAGAGGCTGGGCTGCATCCCCTGGACTCCCAGTTCGCAACATCAGTGTCACAAATCTCATCACTGTCATCTACTGCAGCGAAGAGTTAACGTTTCTCTCAACATGTTCTGGTGATGTACAAAAAGTTACAAAAGCATGTTTGGAAAAAAACCAAGTACTACATGAATCAGGCTGCACGTGTGTGGAGGAAGGAGGCAAACTGACTTCACCAGCATTTCCTTTGCTGTTACTCAAAAGTCTTAAAACTCTCAGTCTCTTACATGCTCCTTCCCCCTTAGTACTCCTTCCAAATGCCAGAATGCATTTTTCTTTTTTTATTTTTCGTAAGTATGTGCTATTTAAACACTGGGGCACTCCACACACATTGAGGTAGTACCAGCGCGTGTAAAAAGAAACTGTTACTCTCTGCTTCTTCCTAAACAATGTAATCCACCTTCTTGGACAAGCTTTAGGGAAGACACAACCTTGACTTTAGTTATTTTTAAGACAACAAAACAACTAAGCCCTAAACCTTTACAGAACAGTGTAGACTCGATTCAATGACATAGAAAAGAAAGTGAAACTGACCTTAAATAAAAACAAATAAGTGAAACTGATCAGTCCTATCCCCTAATGCACTTTGAATGAAGAATACAGTCGAGTAGAATTGTTTCAAATTTACAACTCTTAAAAAAATCTGAGCCGCCACAAAAATGTATGAGAGCCTACAGCACTGCTGTTATCTTGAAAAAGAGGCGTTAACTAGTTTTTGAACGAGTTTTACTGTTATTTTACTGTATTCACTTTAAAATAACCAACGTGTTTTCCCACAAACAAGCAAGCCCTAAGGCCTTCCTGAATATAAAAGCGCTATTCAACAAAAGTAATCTCGACTGCATTCATTATAACGAGGTTAAAGTCCTACAGTGTAAAACTTCGGTCCCGTCGAGTCGTCATCGCAAACATCTGAAACTGATCTCCTCCTCCCCGACCCCCTCCAGGTAAGCGGGCTCTTCCCGTCCCGAAGATAAAGAACACGACCCAGGGACACACACGCTTTGGGGGACGCGCCGCGGGCCGCCGGCCCCTCCTCTCCCGAGGTGCCCGCTCCGCGCGGCGGCCGGCGTGAGGGACTCGGACGCCCGGCGGAGGAGCCAGGTGGACGGCCCCGCGAGGGCGGACCGGTGCGGCCGGCGGCCAGCCGAGGGGTTACCGGGTGGGAAAGTTTCTCTCTTTTTGGGTGGAATGGGGGCGGGGAGGCGAGTCCCGGGCTCCGAGGGGCGCTCGGGGGCGGGAGGCGGCAGCCACGCGGGGGGCGGCGGGCGGCCAGGGGACGCCGGGCGCCGCGGCCGGCACACGCCCACCCCGGGCAGCCCCGTGCCGGCCAGGCTGCCCCGGAGCCGCCCGCCGGGCCCGGCCCCCGGGCCGAGGGGGCGGACTGGGGCCGGGTGGGGGTGGGAGGGCAGTGTCCATGGCAACCAGGGGGTCCGGCCTCCCGGCGCAGCCCGGATCTCGGGGCACCCCGCAGTCGCGGCCGCCGCCCCCTCCCCAGCGGCCTGGCTCGGCCGGCGGGGGGCGGCGCTGCCACCGGTACGGCGGGGTCCCGGGCGGCCCGCGGCGGCGGAGGACACGGCGGGCGAGGGGCCGCGCCAGCCCCCGGCGGGCCGCGCCGGCAGAGGGCCGGCCGGGCCAGCTGTGGCCGAGGCGAGCGGAGCGCTCTGCGGGCCCCACGCCGGCCAGCAGCGGGCGGGAAGGAGGCGGGAGCTTACCTGACCCGGCTCGGCGCTCGCTCCATCCCCCTCGGCCGCCGCCGCCGCCGCCGCCGCACACAGCCCAGCCGCCCGGCGGGGGACAATGACGTGCCTCCATCCGGGCACCGCCGCCGCCGCCTCCGGGTCAGCGCCGCGTCCGCAGCGCCCCGCCGGGCCGCCAGGGGGCGCGCCAAGGCTGCGTCCGCACGCGCCACCGCCCAGGGGCCGTCGCACAAGAGGCGCGGCGCGCACTTAACGGGCCAGGAGAGCGCGGGAGGGGACGTCGCCAAAGCGCCGCGGGCTCAGGCTGGCGCGCGCGTCACTGGAGCGCCGGGGCGCGGCGGGAGGAGCGCGCTGATTGGCGGGCAGAGGCCGGGTGAAGCCCTTTCCCCGAGCGGCCGGCGGCGGCCGCGGGGCCCTAGGGCAGACGGGCGATAACCCCTGAGACTGCGCTGGGGTCTGGCCCGCGCGGGTGCACGCCGATCGCGGGCCTCCTGGGTCTCCCCAAACCGACACGAATTCGGGAAAATCTCCCTCGTGCGCTTCTCCGCCACGACTGCGGCGCTCGTTCCTCGGCCACGCTGGCGCCAGCGGTGCTCTCACAAACTGTGTTACAAGAAGCGGAGGATATTACACCTGAGTCCAGGAAAGGGCCGAGCCATTGCTGTCACGATTCATCTCGGATCCGAGCATAAATTAGCACAGCCTTTGGGAGCACCTAGGTCAGCGCTGGTTCCCGAGTGCCAGGTCCATACTTCCAGCTACTTATTGGAAGTCTCCACCGCGAGGTCCAACAGAAAACGAACTGATTCATCCTTTTTCCGTCTTCTCTCCGTTAAGACCCTGCTCCTCACTTTTGAGTTCCCTGCTTTGATTAAGGACGTGGCCCTCTCCTGCGCGCAGCTGAGTCCCTCTCTCTTCCGCCTCAGGTGCCTAACCCCTGACATCAAGTCACACCCGCCCGGCCTGCCCGAGGGCTGTGATCCTGAGCCTGCTCCCCGAGGCGACCTTTCTCCTCTCGCCACGCCCATTCCTACAGTCTCCTTCCCGGCGCTTCCTTCCTAGTCGCTCCCATTCTAGACTCTCCACTCCCTTTCGACCTCCATACCACACTCCTCCTCCCCCTTCCTCACTGCCTTGAAAACAAATGTAGTGGCCCTTTTCCTCTAGAGAGATTCAGTGCCACTTAACTATAGCAAACTGACAGCATAAATGGAGACATTGCAAAGGCTATTAGGAAGCCCCTGACTTCAAACAGTCGCGCCTTTGGCTGAGATAGTAAGCAAACTTGCCCCATGAACTCCTTTTCCTCCAGACAAGAGCTTAACCCAAAGTGAATGTTGTTTGGAGAAGATTCTACTTTGCCTCTAAACAAGCCGTGTAATGTACAGAAATTACTGAGCCAGTTGTCTTTACCAAAATTGTCTATATGCTAAGGGTGAATTCCTATCCAGTTAACTATGGGAGCAAAGAGCAAAAGGTGTCACAGAGGGAGGGATAAGTTAGATTTTCCGAGGCCCTCCAGGCACCTAGGAAGCCTATCGTGGGCGCTGGTAATGCCCTGCCCAGATCTCCTTATTGGCTGACACAATCTTTCCCCTCCCAACTGCTCTGAGTGTTTCCCCTTCTCCTGACCTCTGTTCTTGGCTCCAGGGGAGCTGCTTGGTGGGGAGGTTAACCATGCCCACCTCCCCCTTACTGCCTGTGCAAATGGCTCACTGACACCAGTTCAGGAAGGCCTTGCCTCAAGTTGGGACTAGTCCTGTGCAGTTCACGCTCCCCAGCTCCACTGGGATCAGAATGAAGCTCCTCTCCCACGGAGGCTACAACCTTGCCTACCTCCTCTCCCTGCCCTCTCCCGTCATTCCGTTTCTCCCCGGGGAGCTCCCTCGGCGCACCAGGTGCACCTGAATCCTCTCTCACTCCTTCTAGGGAGCCTGACTTAAGAGAGTTACCAGGAGTGGTCCTAAGAAGCAGAGTCCAAGTGCAGGGGTCGGGCGATGGGGGAAGGGCACTGGTAGCTGTGTGATAGCGTAAGACTCCCACCCGGGGGAACCGGGATGGGAGGTGGTAGAAGGGGTGCATTGGCTTATTCCATCTTGTGTGTTTGAGGACGCGGGGGAATCAGTCATCAATAGGAAGCAAAGCATACGAGCCTCCCAGGCAGCCTGTTGTAACTATCACCCGCAGTCTGAGGACAGACCGTCCTGAGGACACGCTCAGGTTCCTTTAAAAGGAGCCAACCTTTAGACACGGTTGACTCCTCAGCTCTGTATGGTCCACCTCGGACGCTGAAATCAGGCCTGTGACACAGAAGAGGTGGGACCCCGAGACTGGGGGTGAGAATCTAACTACAGTGAACTTCAGACTCCTCCAAACTACCTGGGCCTGCTGACGTGGACCACTCCCACCTCAACCAGAAGACGATACAGAAGCCACAAATGAGGTGGGCACCTACAAGACAATGCTTTCTTTGGGATCCGCCCCGTAATCCTCTTGGCCACGCAACCATTCTTTAAGGTTAGGTCTCAGCGTGGCCTGACTGGAGAAGTGTTGGGCGTGCGCAGGGAGTTGCACCTGGAGGGAGCTGCAGAATCTGGCTGATCCACACGAGCAGGACTCTAAGCAAGCCCAGAAACAGATCCCACAGGGACTGAATCAAGGGGAAGCAATAGAGGAGAACTTGTGGATACAGCGACACTCTCCCGTAATAGCAACCTACCACTTTGTCAAGGACCCTGAGTGGGCTGCTTCTGATACACCAATGGATGGTACTTGGTGAAAGGAATGAGCCGTATTAAATGAGGTTGAGATGCCATGACTTCACGTGGAGGAGGGGACCAACGGGCCCCGGGAAGGGAACATGCTCGAGTGGATACTGCCAGCTGCCATATTCCGTGAGGAGGCCTGGCAGGCGCTCTGTCTACCAAGGCCGTGCGGGGTGGGGGCACTGCCAGATCTGCTGAGAAAGTCAGTGGTGGCTGTCATCGGTAGGCCGGGGCCGACAACAGGGGTGCTGTCAGAGAACTGCGCTCTCTAGTGGTGAGGGGTGGGAGACGGGATTCCGGGGGGACAGGAGCTGGTGCCCACGCTCACCCATCAGAAGCAAGGTGGGCGTCACTGTTGCTGTGGGCAGCGGGGCCAGCGTGGCAGAGTGGGGCCCTGGCTTGCAGACATGCGTGGAGATGGCTAACAGAACAGGGGCAGTCAACAAAGGCGTAGTATATGTAATCAAGCGATGGTCCTGTGTGCATATAACACGGAGGTGTGCAGAAGGCTGAGGTTGGTCGTCCCAGTGGAAAGTCACGACCTCCTGCCAGTGTCCCTGCCGGAGACCGTCCGCAAATTCACTCAGTGAAAGAGATCATGGTGAGTGTGGACAGTAGTGAGTCTCCAAACCCTTCCCCAAAGACACCTCTGGCCATTTGACTTCCTGTGGTAACCACACACTGAAAAAGAGGAATGCTCAGACATTCCCAGGTCACCGGACACAGAGTCCAGGGTGACACAGGCGGATGGGGGCCTAACGCGACCCCTCCTGCTAAGGGAGTATGAACATGTCACAGGGTCAAGTAGTACTTTGGGTCTCTCAGTGTGTCCGTTGGGCCCATACTGGTCATTTCCCCGGTTCCCAAATGTGATATCCAAATGGTCTTACTCTGCCATTGGCAGAATCCTTACATTGGCTCCTTGACTTGCAGGCCATGAGCTGTTGTGGTGGAGAAAGCCAGGCGGAAGCCCCAGAACCACCCTCCCTGGCTGCGAGAGTAAGCCCGGGGGGGTGCCCCAGGGTAGTGCCACCCGCAGAGCTGCGGAAGATGCAGGGCTGTGGTCTCTGTCGCGTGCCCATTCAGCTCCCCAGCCTGACCACTGCAAAGAGCGGACGGGTCCTGGTGATGGCCTACTGCAAGCTTAAGGGACAAGGACTGATCTGGCACCTGCTTCATCCCACCACGGCTGTCTCCAGCCCTTGGAGTTCTACACCTGCACAGACGGAATGGCGCTTAGGGCATTGTAGTCGATCTTTGTTCTGAGCTCCTCTGGGCAAACATAAATCAAGCCCCTTACCATGTTTTGCCACACACACACACACACACACACTCACACAGAGGAGGAAAGGGGGATAAAAGAAAAATTGTGAGTACCTACCTTTCACAGGGAGGGCCCAGGTGACACCATCAACAGAGCTGTCCCTGCAGCTTCGGCCGACACGCAGGCATTAGAGCATGCTGTTTGGAGACAGACAGACTAGGTATAAATCCGAGCCCCAGCTTCTATTTGTTCTTTGGATTCTCATGAAATGAAAGGCTTGTTGACTTTATCGAAGCCAACTCTATCCTAAGGGATAACAGACACCCCTTCCCGCCAACCCAACATAAAGCATTAAATAAAGCCCAAAAGGCTTCCCGGAAGGATTTATTTGATTTTCTGAAGGCCACTGTCTCCTATGAAGGAACTCTGAGACCACGGCCCACCAAATCTTAGACCTAGTTTATTTTTAGGTGACAGATCCTACGTCACTTCTTTATGTATTGGCAAAATACTAATTTGGAACCCCCTAAAAGCCATGTATTGGAGATACTGCACCTAGTTTCCAGATACCGTTTTGTTTGGAATACAGAGTTATCCCGCATTGTGACAACGTTCCAGATGAGGAAGGTAAAACTCAGGAGGCAGGGTTTGGGTTTAACTCTGAAGTACACGCCATTCAGGAAGAGATTTTACGAAGGTGGTGGTGACACTTGAAATGGGTCCTTGAGGACTGAATGGAATTATTTTTTTCCAGGTAAATAAGGCATAGGAAAGGGATGCCAGGACTTTAGGAGCAAATCAAATTTAGAAGCAAATAAAGTCGGTCCCAGTCTTAGAAATCTGTTGCCCTTAGAAGTGCACAAAAATGAAGGCTGATAATGCAGGTGATAACATGGAGGAGGTTCGGGATGGAGTCTGATGCAGTGGACTTGGTTTTCAAAGGAGAAACTCCAGAGATATAGATCTAACTGGCCAGGTGAGCCTGTACAGAAAAATGTCACTTCCAAATTTGAATAACAGAAATCCGTACTTGTCCAATTCATGAACAATA